AAAAAAAAAAAAACTCAAATAATTATTCTCCTCAGGCTCAGTGATTATTGTGAATACTTACCTCGCCGCTCGAAGGCTTACGGCTCGGTAAATATTCCACCGATAATCGCTTCGCCAGTGGTCTTCGGCGAATGATTGTTAAATATATTAAGCTTGTGCTCTTGAAGATTGATAAGTAGACCTCTTTACCTTGGATGTAATGTTTTCCCATTTCAAACCACGAATTCTTATTTTAAGAATAAGATTCTTTGTTTGAATTGTATCCATATCCACATGAGTCTTCTCATGCACTACCATTAAACAAAGAAATGATACTCTAGAGAATGACGCGTGGTTAGAACACCCAATGAGGTAACGAGGTCTATTATTGGAAAACGTGAGAACGAACCCGAAAAAGAAGCCTATTTAAAAAAATGATACTATGATATTTCCGCAGGGTGAAACTGAAGTCGATGAAGAAGAAGAAATACCAGATCTGTCATATAGAAGTGGATCAGAACCGGCAACGACACAGGTTCAAATAACGCCTCATCCACTTGCAGGTACATAGAGTACAGTCTAAAGATACTCTATCATCGTGGACTGACTATTCTACTAGATTAAATAGGACTGATTTTTTTGTTTGTAATTAGTTATTGCATAAGGACCACTATAGGAGAAGGTGTAGCTCAGTTAGTTAGTGCGCGGCCTTCAGGGCCCGGTTGTACGAAGGGTGTATAGTGCTATCCGATTGATGAATCCTTATCCAGTGGACAAGTCGATGCTGTTATCCAATAAATTTATCCATTGGATAAGATTAATCCGTCGGATAGCGCTATCCACCCTTCGTACAACCGGGYCCAGAGCTACAAGTCTACGTTGGAATCCTCAGGATCTCCACATCTATTTTAAGTTCTCTCTATTCTCTGTAGCTTTAGCTCTAAATACCCGTAATGAGGAGCACTGGTAGTCTGACGGGGTAAAGTGCGCACCTTCCAGCGCTTTATACATGAGCCTCTGGCACTGGAGGAATGGGCAACCACTCCGACAACCACGTTATCGCGAAGTAAAAATTAGCTTTACCTTTTAACCCAATTTGAAATGAGTTATCCAAAATTTGTCTAATTTTGTGACTGTATAACGTGTCTGAACACAATAGCCTGTTGCTTGCGTGACTAAGGCKAAGAGGTTGCTTACTATATCTTCCTATCTTGACTATATTCTTTTTAGAAGAAATCGAAATGCCTACACAAGAAGCTGACAGCCACTTACAGGAATCAATAATTCACGATACCATCGATGTAACTGATATGGATATTGAAGACAGTGACTTTGAACCAGGATCTGATCGCGAACTATTAGGATTGTTCTTTCCTGAGGTAACATCCTTCAATTTTAATTTGTATAGGAAATTGCGATTTTTTGTTTATAGTTCACTCAACAAAATTTCAGTAAAAAAATGCGAAGCGACGCCGTTCATCTTTGTCTATTTGGCGGCCGATTTTCAGTCCATCGCGCAACTGAAATGCATAAAAAAGATCAGTTCTTACGGCTTTAAATTTTATTTATATGTTTTTTAAGTACAARATGATAGAAAATAATTGTTTTGACATTGTTTTGGCCGTGTTGCCATAGCGACTTAATTCGGTACTCTTACGGAGTACAATTAACGCTATAATTGTACTCCTCTCGACCAATCAGAGTCGCGTAATTTTGTTGAGTGTACTATAAAACCGTTAATGATATCAAATAGATGTTTGTAGGTTGGGTTTATGTTCATTTGGTTAATTTTGTTTCGCCAACCTTTAAATAATTAGTACTTTATTGCTTTAAAACAAATCTAACCAAAAGAAAGACATGATTCTCTAGTGAAAAACACGTGCCCTGAAATGGGAAAACATTACGCCCCTTGGTAAAGAGGTCTATCCTTGGACGCGCACGGTGTAATCTTGTAGCGTTGCGTCAGTGCAAGGTTTTTTATTTTTTCTTTTCTTTTTCTTTCCTTTATTTGGTATTTTATTAATTTCTAATCGATATTTAATTACTCTCCCAGCTTGTTGACCAATCAGAAAGAAATAACACCCTAATGTGCGATATCTGCCAGATCAGCGTCCCCCAGTTAAACCGGCACATGCGCACTCGGCACCCTGGTTGTGGCGGGAATTCTAGTCGCCATGGGTACCGTAGTGATGGAGTCTACACGGATGGATGGTTTGGCGGGATATGTGGAACGGGTCAATCGTATTATTTATTGTGCCCGGAATGCAGAGAMAGGTACTTGGCCAAGGCAGAGGAAATGAGGACGATGGCGGCGTTGAAAGGAAGCAACATGTAAGTGAAAGAAAGAGTTTTTGAGGGATTTGTGGACGCCATGTTGGAGACGTTCTCTCTCTTGGCAAATCTCTTGTCACGTATAACTATGCCTTACTTCTGTCCTACAACACAACGACACTCCACACCTTTCCATCCTATCGTTTTACACTAATACAATAGTATAGATACCTTACTGATTGGTTTTATTTGTTGTTAGTTCTTATGAAGATGCGAAGCATTTGATTGAAGCACCTGATCTTCTTGGGCCTCTAGACTCCCTAACAAATGGTAAGTGGGCTCCCTGTGGTGTTCTAAAGCCCAATGATGATGGCCGTTATGATGATGATGATGACGCTCCCCTTCGTGCTTCTCCTGACGCTTCTCTCTTGTTCTGCCAACCCCCGCGTGCTTTATAGCTGCACACAGCCCGCTCTCGCGTTTTTTTCTATTTCTTCAATAACATACATTGCTCAGTGAATACTTTAAAACATGTTTTCTTTTGCAACAGCAGACGAGTCCAGAACAGAAAGCAACAAGACCAAAATAACACCAACATCATACGACGACATTATGTCGTCTCTTGGTCTAACCGAATGCAGTCCCATGCCGAGCGCTGTACACTTCGCAGACGAAGATCCTCTAGGAGTCAAGATGGTCAGCGGGGATTCCACTTACAATCTGAGCACGCACAATAAAGATAAGAACAAATCAAGTGACCTAGCAAGAGCCACGCGAAAGACCCTTGGGGAACAGTCATCGGTGATCACCTCTACACATGACCGCGCGCTAGCACTAAAACGCATCACTATCGCAGCACAGATATCTTTATCCAGAGAGCTGGTTCTCAACATTGTGTATCTATTATGTCAGTGTACTGTGCCCTCGGCCCTCTCCCACGGTTTACGGACCCTAGGGCTTGGTGATGCTAAGATTCTAGTCAATCTGATGAGACTCGCAGCTGCTGGCCGGGTTTGTGTCTCTACTTCCGGTAAAGCAGATCGGGAAGATAGCAGTGCTGCTAGGTCTTGTAGGTCTTTGAAAGCCTTGAGTAAAGCTGTATGCGCACTGGCTACTGATGATCAAGCATCGGCAAAGTTGCTACTGAACTTGTGCGTTCGAGATCTTATGACTTCAGCAACAGGTACGTAGGAAACATACGGTACTGACTTTCGGTACGTATACGATACGACATGCCGTAGACCGGTTTTCGTATGAGTGGGAAACATACGCTACTGACTTACAGTACGTATACGATACGACATGCCGTAGACCGGTTTTCGTATGAGTGGGGAACGTAGGGTACGTATATAGCACGTACACGGTACGACATGCCATAACAGTGAAATGGCTTCCCATTGTCTTCCAGTAATTTAACCAATCAAAACACTGCTACTGCTGCGGTTAGATGCACGGGCGAGTATGACTACGGATTTACCATAACGTACTCCTAAGAAAACTGCTCTAAAAGCATTTGAGCTATTKTATGTTCTTGTGAGATGCTCTATATAATTTATTTACATATCGTTTCCTGCTCATACGCAAACCTCTCTTTGCGAAAATAATCTATAACTTCTGTATTTCCTGATCTTCAGGTACAACGAGTTTCAAGAAAACGACCGATAAATCATCCAGGAAGAGGGTTCTGTCTCGGCTAACCAATGACAACGACCCATCCACATCTGACCAAAAAGCCCTGTCATTACCAAGCTTTGTTGTTACTCAGGCCCTGGTTGATCTTCTTGCTGAAGCTGGAGGTAGGTCTACATAGAATCAAATCAAGGGTGTTGTAACCTCTCACCTCTGGGGTTCGATGGGCCAGTTGCAACAAACAGTCTGGTGCTAATATATCACTTTGATAATAAATCAATTCAACCAAAGGTCCCTTGGTAAGCATTCTGGAAAAAGGTTTTTTGGATATGACGTTAGTAATCCAGCAAGTTATTTGAATAAAGGAAGTCCGATTTAAAAAAATTTTTTTTTTGCCATCCAGTAATAGTCATGCGTTTAAGTTGTGCAAATGGTCTATTCCTGTACCCAGTATTACGTTTGAGTAGATAGACTGCTTTTGACTCGTAACCAATCTTTCTCGGCCAATCGACACGGGCAGACAGACGGACAGTGACCAAGGGAAATAGAGGGACTGCTAGCAGTCTAGTGAGTAGAGCGTAACTCTATCTCTTGATTCAAGGGTGATAGGACAGAATAGTTATGAGGTCTTGTACTGTTGGGAACTTAATAACAAATTCATTATATTTTCTTGTTTTTAGGCAAATATCCAGGATTGACGTGTGGAGGAACGATGAAAGACTCTACTCTCCCACTCCCCCTTGTCAATGCTTTGTCATCCTGTTGTCTTTCCACCCATCTCCCTTCCCCCCACAGGCAGTGGGCAGCTATCGAATTGGTCAGAACGTTAGCTTACAGAAGCAAGCTGAGACTAACAGAACAACCGAGGAAGGAAGCCGCAGATCTGGATGGTGAGATACTGTCTCTCTTCTTCTTCCTTACTCTTAGATTTTATTCGCTTATATTCCATCCAATAAGCCTGAGGCGAGATGACGTTTTACCTCCGTCTCTAGACCATAATCCTTTTCACACTGCTTTTGTTCTTTAATTATGACTATTGTTCCTGTATTCTTGAAGCAATCAAAAATTTTAATATGAAAGAATTTTWAAAACTATTATGGTATAGAGTCGGGGTAAAACGTCATCTCGCTTCAGGCTTATAGGACACGTTCGATATCTAAAAATTCAGACTTGATTGCTAGCCTTTAATCGTATCGTACTTCATGTATGATACAAACACGTGCATCACCAAATGCATTTATTGGTAGGAATGAAATGATGTTCCATATACGACGTTCCTAACTTTCGTTAATAAGAACATTTTGATAGAAAAGCTACAATTTTGTTCAAAAATGTTGAGAAATTTTTAGCTTTAAGGGTATTTTCAATGAAAAATTCCCCTTAAAACGACCCCCTCCCCCCTAAACAATAGAGACCTTTAGATCCGACGACGAGTACGAGTGTTTAACTTTTAAAGACTATCCTTTTGAAGTCGTGGTCGTGTACGTAGATTGAAACTTTAGATGGTAAAAAATCGGAAATCGACTACGATTTAGTGTTAACCACGTGCACAGGACCAATTTYAAAACTCGTACTCGATCTCGTACTCGTCGTCATATCTAAAGGTCGCTAATATTGTTTCAAGGGACACACGGCTGCTTTACCTACTGGGACCAACATTGTCCTGGGGGAGAGGGGGTACGGACAATATTTTTTTGATAAGGCAAATTCTACTATTTCATGATTGGATGAAAAATTCTCAACTCTTTTTGTCCAAGATTGTAGTCAGTTCACTACTCAATAATTAACGTTATAATCGAATCTATAGCAATATATCTACGGATACTTTAATGCAATTTTGAACATCTTATTCCTGAGAGCCTCGGTTTCGTGTTAGAATTTTCATATCTCGTACGTGGGCTATTGAATGCCCGTTGAAACGAGATGTTTTTCTTCAAAACAAATTTTTCTCCCCTTTACCCTTTATGAGATGTGCTATCATAGAACTCGGGATAATGAATAATGTTGGTGTTTATCAGGTGACATTCCACAGTGTCCCAAAACAAAGCTGAAGGCCCATTCTAGTCAGGTAGGGCGCTAATAAGCTCGTAAATACCAGATTGAATCAATGTTGGTGGGTTCGTGAAAGGAAGGGGAGAACTGAACGATAGGGAACAATGAGAGAAAGAATGGAAAGAGAGAGAAAGAAACAAAAAA